ATATACTTAATTTACAATAGTAACTAACAGTAAATAAAAATCAAATTAATATTATTTTGTAATTAAAATCAGGTCGAAATTTATTAAAATTTCAAGTTTTCGCAAATACGATAAGAATATGTGACGATATTTTAAAACCATATAATATAAATGTCACAGACATTTTGACAAATACAAAAATAGAAATGTGTGAAAACGCATTATATGCGTTTGTTGGTATCGTCGCTATTCAGGTAAAGTATTATGTACCAAAGCTATACATTAATATTAATTATATTTATTTTACATTAATTATTAATTATATTTATTAGTAAAACATAGAAGATAAATATAAATTGCTTATTTCAGTAGTTTTGTTTTGCAAAAAAACTAGCATTATATTAGATTTATTTTTTAAATAACATTTTATTATTTTATTGTACTTTATTTTTAAAATATTATGTCTAATGTAAAATTATTGGTATATATTTGTAGATCGGTTTAGTAGATTTTCTGACATCCTTAAAAATTACTCCGGATTACGTGATTAGTCATTCTGCTGGTGAACTGGGTTGCGCGTACGCGGATGGATGTCTCACCATTGAACAAACTATTTTATCAGCTTATTTTATTGGTTTGACGTGTGCCAAAGGAAAATTAATTCATAGCTCTATGGCAATTATCAATTTTGGTTACGAGTGCCTTAAAAATATATGTCCAATAGATATTGAAATAGTATGCCGCAATAGCGAGAACAGCAGCGTTGTTAGTGGGCCCACAGAATCCATGCAAGAATTTATGAAAAAATTACAGGTAGAATTGAATAGCTCTATTATTTTGAAAAAGAAATGGAAATCTCTCTCATTACTTAATGATTTCGAAAATATCGAATTTTTTCCGAAAAGCTACAATTTATCGGATCTACATATCCTCAATTTGAATTTTGTATTATCGCAGGTTAATAATATTTATGTGAAAGAGATTCATTGTAACATGCCGTATCATAGTTCTCGTCTCGCATCAGTGGAACCTCAGCTTTTGTTTAATTTGAACAAAATAATACCACGGCCAAAAAAGCGGAGTCCAAAGTGGATCAGCACTTCTATACCTCGTGCCGAATGGCACACATTAGAATCCAAATTATCATCGGCGGACTATCATACACGTAGTATACTAAACACTGTTCTTTTTGAACAAGCAAGTCATTTAATTCCATGTAATGCTATAACCATTGAAATCGCATCAGACGGCAGTCTGCAACAAGTTATAAGAGAATCCTTGCATTCAGAAGTGACCAACATTATACTAACTCGACACATTGAACAAAACACTCATACAATTTTACAAGGAATTGGAAAGCTCTACAATTGTGGCTTGCAGCCACAAATTGCTGATTTATATCCGCCAGTGAAATTTCCAGTTAGTCGAGGAACTCCTATGATTTCTCCATTGATAAGGTACAAGATACATATTAACGTAATCCTAGATTGCAGAAAAATTACTTATATGTACAAAGTTACACACACACATATATATATATTTATATGTATAATACAAAGAAAACTATTTTGTTGGATCTAGATCTGAAATTAATTTATGTTCAATAATCAAAATAACTTTATTAGAAAATAAAAATAATTGCTAGAATATTAAAACGTTTTATAGCAATGCCTATATCATTTTTAACTTTCTAACAAATTATTTTGATTATTAAACAAAAATTACTTTTAGATCTGTATTCAGCAAAATTTTTAGACATTTCAATAAAATCGTTCTTTCCGTGAATGTATAAAATTACTACATTAATTATACATTAGATGGGATCATTCCGAAGATTGGTATATACCAAGTTATAAAACACAAAAGTCTATGAAATCTAGAGAAAGATACGTTGAAATCTTACTCAATGATGAGGATTATGATTATATGGACGGTCATGTAATTGACGGAAGAAATTTGTTACCCGCGATGGGTTATCTTGCAATCGTTTGGCAAACTATAGGGATGATAAAGGGGCAAATGTATACAACAATTCCGATAATATTCCGAGACGTAAAATTTATTCGTGCTACTTATTTATCGAGAAATGATGCTGTAAAGTTGGCGATTGCGATTCAGAAAGGTACTTATTGACTTTAAAGTAGCATGATGGTAAGAGTGCGTATAATCGGATATATAAAAATATTACAGATGGGAAGTTTGAAATAACTGAAGGAGATAGCGTTGTTGTGACAGGTATGGTGTATGAGACATCGAATCCAGAACAGGAAATGATTTCAATAGACTCATTACCAGAGGACAATAATGAAGAAGAACATATGACTACTCGAGATATCTACAAGGAATTAAAACTGCGCGGTTACCAGTATAGCGGATGGTTTCGTGGATTAAAAAGTGCATCTCTTTCAGGCAGCAAAGGACACATCATTTGGAAAAATAATTGGGTAACATTTATGGATAACATGTTACAAATGCATATTATCGGTTGCGATACAAGGGATTTGTATGTTCCCACGAGTATCCAAAAATTGGTAATTAATCCCAAGCTTCACGCATTGAAGCTACGAAATGAGGCCAACATCCTAGAAGCTACAACAGACAAACGTAAATATTTTTTAATTACTATATTACTTTTATTTTATTCGTTAATACTAAGAATTGTATTATTTTAATTCACAAATATTGTGTAAGAATTGTTTTTTTTTATGTAATGCGTGTATTGTTTGAATTGTTTTATTACAGAATTACAAATACGAGTATACAAAAAACTAGACACCATTAGAGCTGGTGGAATAGAAATTCGAGGCCTTAAAGCCTCTCAGATCTCTCGCCGAAAACTAGCACAAGATGTTATTATCGAGAAACACATATTTGTAGCTCATTGTGATCGCGCTAAAGTTTCTTTAAATGAAGCAATTCGAATATCAGCGCAACTCGCACTGGAAGATCATCAAGTTATCAAAGTAAAAGTCATCGAACTAGTGGAAGATATCGATGATGTTGAATTAGAATACCTCTCATCTTCGTTACTAGTTGAGGCTTTTAATGATATGCCATTGATACAAGCGAATCTCACTCTACTAACATCGCCGAATCGTTTCAATTCACTAGACGTATCACAAAACATTTCAATCGTAGATTTAAACAAAGTATCTATAGACGACAAAGCTTTAATTGTTGCCGGATTTAATCTTCTTACCAAACAACAAACCTCCTTAGAGAAACTGATGCCATTTTTGAGAGAAGGTAGTTATCTGTTGACGCGTGAAAAATGCGACGTAATTGACTACAAGAAATATTTGCAGCAATATGATTTAAATGTTATTCTCGAAAAGCGCACTGATAAAGAAATGGTTGTGCTTCTAAAGAAGAAAGTTTTGATAGAAAAAAGAATTGTTGTTTATGTAAATAATGACAACTTTAATTGGCTAGAGGATCTAAAGTCGCTTTTGAGTGATGAAAACAAAAAGTTCGACGAGAAAAATAGAATTATAATTGTGGGAGAAGGAGATTTTGAGTGCGGTTTGTTGGGTTTTGTTAATTGCTTAAGAAAAGAGCCAGGCGGAGAACTTGTGAGAAGTGTGCTTATTCAGGATAAAGAGGCGCCTAAATTTTCTCTGCAAAACCCATTCTATGTACAACAATTGCAAAAAGATATGACCATTAATGTACTGCGATCTAATGAAATCTGGGGGTCGTACAGACATTTACGATTACCGCAACCAGAAGCCGAACTTGTACCGACCGCTCATGTCTGCCAAACGGTATATACAAATCTTTCAAATCATGTTGATATTTTATAAATGTGTAATAATATTATGTATTTTATTCTTTAAATTCTACCACAATGTTTCCATTAAAAATTTTAATTTCAATTTTGATGGTTATAGCATTACATGTATCATGTTATCATATGAAATTGTTGCTTTTCTGTAGGTTCGTGGCGATTTAAGCACATTCTGTTGGATAGAAAACGATCGATCTGTCGAATCTAGTCATGAAGATTTAGTATATGTGGTTTATTCACCACTGAATTTCAAAGATGTAATGCTTGCGACTAGCCGATTCGTATTAAATCGAGGGATTTCGCATGGGCGGTTGTTTGAATATATACCATTAGGAATGGAATACGTGGGATTTGATGCCAGCGGCCAACGTGTAATGGGACTTCGTG